GAGGACAATCCAAAAAGCCTTGGCACCCTGCACCCACTTGGGAGACCAGGAAGAAGCTCTTGACTCCTGACTTTGGATTAGCTCAGCTCCACATTTACAGCCATCTGGGGAGTGAACCAGTGGGTGGATGATGTTTCTCTCTATCTCCCCTTCTCTCTGTAAATCCTTCAATAAAGTATAAATAAGTATACCTTTGAAAAAATGTTAAGCCTATAAAGACAAAATAATTAAAACTCAAAATATGTAGATAGGGTGTGGCTGCACTAACTTAAGCTTCTCTTGGGTGTGAAAGGAATGAAGGAAGGACTGTGTTTCCAGGATTCTGACTGAAATTTTTGGTGAAGTGAAAAAGCAGTAACCACGACTCTGTAAGACAAGAGGAAAGAAAACAGACAGCACTGCAGCCAGCCACAAAATACGAGCAAATTGAAGCCCAAAACCACATCAAGAAGAGCATGTCATAAACTGAGATTTATCCTAGAAATGCAAGGGTGGTTCAATATTCGCAAATAAATACACATAAATCACACCAATAGAAAGAATGGAAACCATATGCTCATCTCAACAGGAAAAGAGAAAGCATTTGATAGGACTCAATCCCCTCTCATGTTAAAAATGCCCCATAAATTAGTTATACCCAGAACATTCCTTACATCATAAAGGCTATATATCACAAACCAACAGCAGTATCATACTGAATGGGAAAAAGCAGAAACCATTTCCCTCAGATCTGGGATAAGACAAGGACGTCCACTTTCACAACTCTTATTCAGTATAGTAGTAGAACTTTTAGCAAGAGTAATTAGGGAGAAGGGAAAAAGGAATTGGAAAAGATGAAGTCAAATTATTCATGTTTACAGATGACATGATGGTGTATAAGGAAAAAAAATAAACAAAAAAACCTGTAAGAATTGATAAACCGATTTATAAAATTGCAAGTTACAGAATAAACATATGAAGCACCTTAGTTCTTTGTATGCTAAGAATGACCCCATGGGGAGAAAAAAATCAAGAAATAAATCCCATCAAAAATAAGATATTTAAGAATAATTTTTAAAGATTTATTTATTTGTATTGGAAAATACAGAGGAGAAGAGACATCTGTCTCATGATTCAGACTCCAAGTGGTTACAATGTCCAGAGTTGCGCCAATCCAAAGGCAGGAGCCTGGAGCCTCTTCCAGGTCTCGCACACAGGTGCAGGGTCCCAAGGCTTTGGGCTGTCCTCGACTGTTCTCCCAGGGCACAAGCAGGGAGCTGGATGGGAAGCAGGGTTGCCACAACATAAACCAGTGCCCATATGGGATCCTGGTGTGTGCAAGTTAGCTGCTAGGCTACCAAGCTGAGCCCATTAAAAATAAATTTAAACAAAAATTGAAAAATCTATACAATGGAAATTATCTAGCATCATTTAAAAAAATCACCAAGGGGCTGGCACAATAGCCTAGTGGCTAAATCCTCACCTTACACGCACACCCAGGATCCCATATGGGTTCCAGTTGTATCCTGGCTGCTCCACTTTTCATCAAACTCTCTGCTTGTAACCTGTAAAAGTAGTAGAAGATGACCCAAAGCCTTGGGAACTTGCACCCATTCAGGAAACCCGGAGGAAGCCCCAGGCTGCTGACTGCTGGCTGCTGACTGCTGGCTGCTGACTGCTGGCTGCTGGCTGCTGGCTGCTGACTGCTGGCTGTTGACTGCTGACTGCTGGCTGTTGGCTGCCGGTTGCTGGCTTCAGATCAGCTCAGCTCCAGCCATTGCAGCCATATGGGAGCAAACCAGTGGAGAGCAATCTTTCTCTCTACCTCTCCTGCTCTCTATAAATCTGACCTTCCAATAAAAATAAATAAATCTTTTTTAAAAAGCATCAAGGACATAGGAAATTTTGATTGGAAGTTTCAGTAGCATTAAAATATCTACAGGTTCAATACAACTTGATTCAACATAATCCCTGTCAAACTACCAATGCCATTTCTTTAGAAAAAGAAATCTTTAAATTCATATGGAATCATGAAAAAGGAAGAACAGCCAAAGGGATCTTGAACAACAAAAACAAACACACTGGAAGCCTCACACAATATGTGATTTCAAAGCATTCTATGAAATTAGTGAGTAAAACAGCATGGTGCTGGCATAAAACCCAATGCATAAATCAGTAGAACAGAATAGAGAGCCCAGAAATTAATCCACATATATACAATGTGATATCTGACAAAATGTTCAAGAGATTTAATGAAGTAAAAATAATCTGTTCAACAAATGGTGCTGGCAAAATTGCATGTATGTAGGTAGAAGAATACATTTATATCAATACTTCTCACCATATTAAAAAAATGAAATACAAATACATTCAAAACCTATTTGGATACCTGAGACTATAAAGTTGCTGGAATCAAATATAGAAGAAACACTTAAAGACAGTGAAGGGTAAGATTTCTTGGATAAGGGCATGTTGGCCTAGCGGCTGAAGTCCTCACCTTGAATACAGCAGAATCTACATGAGTGCTGGTTCTAATCCCAGAGGTCCTGCTTCCCTTCTAGCTCTCTGCTTGTAGCATGGAAGAGCAGTCGAAGACAGCCCAAAGCCTTGAGACCCTGCATCTACGTGGGAGACCTGGAAGAGGCTCCTGGCTCCTGGTTTTAGATCGACTCAACTCTGGCTATTGCGGCCACTTGGGGAGTGAATCAACAAACAGAAGATCCTCCTCTCTGTCTCTTCTCCTCTCTGTAAATCTGACTTCCCAACAAAATAAATAATATCGGGCCCAGCACTATGGCACAAGTGGTTAAGGTCCTTGCCTTGCACGCCCGGGATCCCATATGGGCACCGGTTCTAATCCCGGCAGCTCCACTTCCCTTCCAGCTCCCTGCCTGTGGCCCGGGAAAGCAGTCGAGGATGGCCCAAAGCCTTGGGACCCTGCACCCGCGTGGGGGACCCGGAAGAAGTTCCTGGTTCCCGGCTTTGGACCTGCATAGCATCGGCTGTTGCGCTCACCTGGGGAATGAATCATCGGACAGAAGATCTTCCTCTCTGTCTCTCCTCTCTGTATATCTGCCTTTCCAATAAAAATAAAATAAATCTTTAAAAATAATAACAAAATGAATCTTTAAAAAAAACATATAAACAAAAAAAAACTCAACATTGCTAGTCATCAGAGAAATGTAAATTAGAACAACAAAGAAATATCACCTCAATCCCATCAGAATGCAAAAATCCAAAACATAGAGTTAAAAAAAAAAGCTTGTGAGGATGTAGCAAACATGAACACAGATCATAGGAATGTCTGTTAATGGAGATTTCTTTGAAAACTGGAAATAGATTCACCATATGATCCAGCAATCCCATTCCTTGGTCTAGACTCAAAAATACATCAGCAAAATGTATCAACAGATACCCGTACGAGCATACGTATAGAATCCCTGTCCACAATAGGCTAAATTTAGAATGAATCAACTGTCCATCATCAAATGAATACAGAAAATGTGCTATATACAATGGAACCTAGGGATGCTTTATTTGCAGTAAAACAGACTCAGTTGGAGGACATCATGTTGAGTGGAAGTAAACCAGGTTCAGAAAGACAAATACCTCATGTTCTCCTTGTATGTAGGAGGTAAAGTTTAAAAAACAAAAGAAAATGGAAAAAAAATAGTCTGTATGTATCAACATTGCTGCAAATAGCATGATAAAACTTTGTTCTACACCTTCGTCAAGGCCCAGCGCGGTAGCCTAGGAGCTAAAGTTCTCTCCTTGAACATGCACCAGGATCCCATATGGGCGACAGTTCTAACCCCAAGGCCCTGCTTCCCCTCCAGCACCATGCTGTGGCCTAGAAAAGCAGTTGAGGATGGCCCAAAGCCTTAGGAACCTGCACCCATGTGGGAGACCCAGGAAAAGCTCGTGGCTCCTGGCTTTGAATCAGCACAGCTTCGGCTATTGCAGTCACTTGGGAGTGAATCATCAGATGGAAGATCTTCTTCTCTGCCTGTCCTCCTCTCTATATATCTGACTTTCCAATAAAAATAAAATAAATCTTTAAAACTTTGTGAAAAAAGTTGCTAAGAATGTTATACAACTACAGCTTTAATGGTTTGTGATTTAATGATTTGCAAGGCACTGTATCAGGGTGAAATGATGGCTTTTCCATAGAATTCTTTTATAGCAATTGTCTGTAGCCCCACCAAAGTAGGATCTGTTTGTTTTTTACTTGTGAAACTTCCTATTTTGGAATGGAATTATATCTGTTAAACTAATTAAAATAAAAATAAAAAAGCATTCTTAAAATAGTTATTTGAAAGGCAGAGTTACATAGAGAAAGAGGGAGAGGTAGAGAGAGAGAGCTCCCATCTGCTGGTTTACTCCACAGATAGCCTCAACAGCGGGAGCTTAGCCAATCCAAAGCCAGGAGCCACGAGTCGCAAATTTCTTGTGAGTCTCTAATGTGCAGGAGTCCAACTGCATGGGCCATCTTCTTCTGCTTTCCCAAGCGTGTTAGCAGAGACCTGGACTTGAGGTGGAACAGCAGTGCTTGATCCAGGGCCAGAATGGAATGTCAGCTCAGCACTGTGGTATCATGCGTTACCCACTATACCACAGTGCTGGCCCCCCAAAATTATTTAAAAACATGAATGTGGACTCATTCGCTTAACTCCAAATGTCTAGGCCACATATGTATATTGAGGCATATTCACATCCATTAGCCACAGATATAAACTGAGATTGGTTTACCATGGCACAGAATGGCCTAGACTATAAATACTATTGTGGCACCAGGCAACAGGATTCTTGGTAATATACATACAGAGGAAAGATTTCTCAGTTCTATTACAAACCCTCCTCAAGTTTGGAAGGCTTTTAAGGACATTCTTACCTTTATAATCTTAAAATGTGATATGGTATCTTCATAAAAAGTACTAAGTATTAAAAATTCTGTTAAAACATTTTTATATCTTTGATGCTCCTTTTGCTTTTTGTTTTGTTTTGTTTTGTTTTCTTAACAGAAAAAAACTCCAGGACCTCCATTTGGTACTCAGATTTGGAAGGGACTTAACATTGGAGGCAAACAGCTAATGAGTGTCCCAGCCCCTATACTCGAAGGACCCAATGTGCTGCAAGTGCGTCAGTTCACCCAGCATGAGATAATAACCAACGAAGTGAAACTGGGGCTGCAGATTTCCCTTAAGGTAATGAAACCCAGGAAGCCTGACCCGAAAGAATCAAGAACAGGGCAATTACACATCTTAGTTTCTTGAAGAGCCTGAAATTATGTAACGTAATTTCAGCAGTATTTTCTAATGAAACTCAAATATTAATCTTTCAGAGAATAGAAGGTGAAAAGGTGGAAGAGACTCACTGACCCCTAAAAGGTGTAAGAATTATAAAGGATCCCAAAGACATTGGGAACATAAGAAAATGTTATGTGTGAATCAAGTATTTTTTATTACTATGTGAAAACCTGGTCTAATGGCCTCTAGAAAAAGATAAGCATTAATGATACCTGTTCATGGGTAAAATGGATTTTTGGCTACCAGATTAACCTAAGAGTTTATAAATATGATTTAAATTATATGAGCACATGAGTAGTATCTCACTTTTCAGTCTGCTGACCCCCTCAGCCCAGGAATTAAATGTGTTTCATTTACAGTTATACACTCGGCATCTGACTTGGAACGTGAGATCCTTATTTATGAAAATGGGACAAGTATATATATAGTAACTGCCAAGTTTTTGTTTGTTTGTTTGTTTTTAAGGAAAGGCCTAGATTCAACAGCTTACACTTATGGGTAGAGTCAGTAGGACAAACCCAAGAGACCCTGAAAGAATCCAACCCAATTCTGTCTGTCTGTCCGCTGAGGACATTGAAGCAGAGTTAGAGACAGGACTGCTCTACGGACCCCTGCCATTCCCGTCTGTGATCTTTAAAGCTTCTGACTCCCGGGTTTCAATAGGTTGTATTCTTCTGCCAATTTAGGATTACATAAACCACATCCTAAAAAAAGAAGATGAGCTGCAGGAAATGACGGTTAAAGATTCCAGACTGGAAGAGGAACGAGGCAACGCTGCAGATCTCCTCAAGCTAGTTATGGTGAGAACATGTTCTTACACCAACATAGAACGGTTCTACTGTTGGTTCAGTGTCATGCGTTTCAAGACGAAGCATCACAGGGCTGTTCTGTATCAGCTGTGCCATGTCTAGAAAGCATTTGCTCACTCTTCATAATCTTTATTTCTGTGAAAATGTGATTCTTTATATACAAAGGAAACTTCAAAAAGTTAGTGGAGGGCCCAGTGCGGTAGCCTACCGGCTAAAGTCCTAGCCTTGAACACACTGGGATCCCTTTATGGATGCCGATTCTAATCCCAGAGGCCCCGCTTCCCATCCAGCTCCCTGCTGTGGCCTGGAAAAACAGTCAAGGACGGCCCAAAGCCTTGGGACCCTGCACCAGCATGTGAGACCTAGAAGAGACTCCAGGCACCTGGCTTCATATTGGTGCAGTTCCGGCTATTGCAGCTACTTGGGAAGTGAATCATCAGACAGCAGATCTTCCACTCTGTCTTTCCTCCTCTCTGTATACCTGACTTTCCAATAAAAATAAATAAATGTATTTTTTAAAATTAATGGAAAAGGGAATTTTAAAAGTTCATTTCAGTGCAAAGAAATGTTGAGATTCACACATGGTTTTCATAATACATTTTTCCACGTAGTTTGGTGAATGCCCCCTCCTACTGAATTTTCTGAATACCCCTTAGGGTTTTCCTCAGATCATAAGCAATTATAATGCCCCTAATAAAGGTGTTTATTGTCTTCGGAATTAATGATTCTCATAAAAAATGTTGAATGAGTTAATGAATTAAATAAGATAAAAGAAACAGGAATTCTGTCCTTAGAAATCCGTAAGTTGAAAAGTATAAATTTGGTAGTTGAAAGGAATAGCTACAAATCCAAGTTAATTCTGTATCGCTATTTAAAAATTAACTCATTTATAGTAATTTTTACAAAATATCGATTATAGCACATGGCAAATGCTTCTCAACAAAGTGAATTTTCTGTGTAACAATCATCATTGTTAAACAACTGTATTCTTATTTCAGTCTTTCCCTAAAATGGAGGAAACTACAAAAAGTCATGCTTCGGAAGGTAATTAATATTAAATTTTTTTCTGTGATATATTTACAAAGCTCAGATAACTTATCTTAAATATACTTATCAGCCGTTCTCTTATCAGATAGCAACACACACTATATGTGTATCTTTGTTCCTTTAATGACCATGTTGTGTTGTAATGGTTGACTTATGTCTTATTTGACCTGGATTATGAGACTCTTAAAAAGAGTGATTGCATCTAAATCATCTTCAGCTTTCTTTTGTTGAATGAAAAGCACTGACATTGAACTTTTATGCTAACCTCAGCTATTTAGAACATAGCTTGAGTGTAGAAAGAAAACAGCTTACCAATAAACTATACCGGCCACTGACATACATGTAGAAGTTTTGAGTAACTGTACAGTTATCAAATGTTTTGTTTTATAACATATGTAGTAGAGATTACTCTTAGAAGGCCTCCTTATTCAAAGTGTATTTATTTTTGGATTATACACAACCCAAACCAACCTGGTTATGCAGGATACATCTTGGGGAAAAGTGAATTAAAAAAAATAAGCTTTTTAATGTAAAAAAGATTTGAAATCATGGATTTTTTCATATGATACCTTTTTCCATGAACTTTTTAAAAACCCTTATCCTATAAGATTTCGTGGCTCAAAGAATGGAAGTTTTGGTGTGGTTTTGTTATTTGGGTTTGGTTTTTGACCACACGCAAAAGCTATAAGCAAACAAGCATGGACTTCATTCAATCCTCACACATTCTGTGATAACTTGTCTGTTGGTTTCTTGCTGTTATTGTTGTTTATCCAGGGTTGGCTCCTCTTGAAATGCAACCTTAGCACAGAGTGACATTTGGCTGAAAGTGGCTAACAGCTTCCCCTTTAAGATGAGTACCACGGAACACTCCAGCACAACCCTCCATATCCCCCTTTCCCTTACACTCTACGCTCACTCTTCCACAGCTTGTCGTCTGTGCTAGGGTCTCCAGACTTAATGCATATAAACGCAAAAGGCCTAACTAGAATGGAATTTTGTATAAACTACCAAATTGATCCATATTATCTCACTACTTTTCCTTGTAGCTTTTGAACTTGCAATGTTTGGCACAAGAAACAGGCACAATAGAAATAATGCCTAAGCTTCCCAATACTGAGGGACAGCTGAGTATAGTACTGAAAATAGATCCAGAGGGCAGAAATGCCTTTACATATTTATAGATGTTCCTGGCATTTAACAATGATGATCCTAAGTCAACTTTCTTATACATATTTCCTAAAACACTAGTCAGCAAGAGAGCTCCCCAAATGAACTTTATTCCATTGCAATATTTCATGCTACAAATCATTTTATTTTCTCAAAGTCATAATGTGCTTTATTAATTAAGGATGTAGAAAAGTCCTACAGTAATGAAGCATGGGATACTTGTAAAAATCCATGGTTTCCAAATTCATATAACCATGAAACAAGGAAAATATTGTTATTCTTTCAATCTCATGATGACTTTCCACCAAGACCATTGGAGACTCACTGCCCAAATTATCGAACAACCATTGTATCGTATTCATATTCTTAGATACAGGGAACAGGCAAACCATTAGAAAAACAATTTTGGCCTAGTAGCTAAAGTCCTCGCCTTGTATATGAGTGCTGATTCATATCTCAGCAGCCCCACTTCCCATCCAGCTCCCTGCTTGTGGCCTGGGAAAGCAGTCAAGGATGGCCCAAAGCCTTGGGACCCTGCAGCCACATGGGAGACCCGGAGGATGCTTCTGTCTTCTGGCTTCAGATCGGCTCAGTTCTAGGCATTGCATCCATTTGGGGAGTGAAGCAGTGAACAGAAGATCTTTCTCTCTCTGTCTCTCCTCTTCTCTGTAAATGTACCATTGAAAGAAAGCAAGAAAGAGGAAGGAAGGAAAGAAGGAAAGAAGGGAGGGAGGAAAGGAGACAGGGAGAGAGGGAGAAAAGAAGGAAGGAAGGAAGGAAGGAAGGAAAAGGAAAGAGGGAGGGTGGAAGGAAGGAAAGATAGAAAAAAGAAAGAAAGAAAGAAAAAAGAGAGAAAGAAGGAAGGAAGAAAGGAAAGAAAGAAAGAAAGAAAGAAAGAAAGAAAGAAAGAAAGAAAGAAAGAAAGAAAGAGAAAGAAAGAAAGAAAGAAAGAAAGAAAGAAAGAAAGAAAGAAAGAAAGAAAGAAAGAAAGAAAGAAAGAAAGAAAGAAAGAAAGAAAGAAAACGGAAGGAACTGGAAGGGAAGGGAAGGGAAGGGAAGGGAAGGGAAGGGAAGGGAAGGGAAGGGAAGGGAAGGGAAGGGAAGGGAAGGGAAGGGAAGGGAAGGGAAGGGAAGGGAAGGGAAGGGAAGAGGAGAGGAGGGGAGGGAAGGGAAGAGGGAGGAAGGAAATAAATTTCGATATAGTAGTTAATCTGTTTTCCAATTCACTGCATTTAGATATGGTTTGAAGAAATTCAGTTAGATGGAACGCATTTATTGCCCTAATGTACAGTAAATTGAGCTGTCACATTTTATCTATAAAATGTGTATTCTCTAGTATTTTGTTACATAAAAGTAATCTAACTTACATTTGTACCATAGCTTAGTCATGAAATTCCTGGTAAATATGATGTAATAAATATGCTTTTTAAAAAAAATTCTCAAATGATTTGCTGTAAAGAAGTGAGAATAAAAGCTAAATGCGTTTATTTTTAAAGTTGCAGCGCACCTAACTGATTTGTTCAGACAGTCTACAAGCACCACGCCAAAAATTTCACCAGACACATTTCAAAGAGATTTCCTTGAAAAGAAGTGGAGGTAAATTAATCCAGTAATATGTTCTCGTTAGTATTAAGCATGCAGTGACTGAGGAAATGGGAAGTTGTGGGTGTCCTCTCGGTGGACGACCACAGCAACAAATTCCAAGGCCTGCATGTCTGATCACTGTGAACAATTCAACGTACACTGGTAGTTTTTCTTTCATTATTTGTGAATTGCGACCCTAGCCGCTTTCATTGTACTTTGCTTTCATCCAGGTACACGGACGTATCAAAGCGCTGGAAAGAAAAGCTAGAACAAAAGAGGTAATGCCACCCTCAAGCATACATGGACATGTGAAGGGCCCATATCGTAGAATCTTGAAGTGGGTTAGGTTTAAGACTTGTACCATCTGGCTCCTGGCCATTCTGTGTGATGGTGTCAGTGTCTCTGCCTTGAATTTTTCTGAGCAGCAAAATTAAAAGACAGTAACAAAAACTCATAGGGCTATTGTAAGAGTCAATGAAAAAGTATCCTAAAATTCAATAAGCACTAAAAAATAAAAATGTCTTTTTAAGGGATTAAGTTCAGTCAAATGTAACAGATAATCCCACAATCAATGCTTTTGTAAGAAGGGGTTTTATTTTTCCCATTGCAAAATAAGTCAGAGAGAGCTGATTCGTTGTAGAGTCAGGAACTAAGATTCCATCATTCTGAGCACATGATTTATATCCTAAAGGCTGCTTCATGGTCAAAATTGATTGCTGAAGCTCCAATGATTGCATTTACATGCTGGGAAGCAGGAAGGGAGATGAGGCAAACAGCAAGTCTCCTGACAACTCCCTTTAAAAGCTTTCATGGAGGGAGTCTCATCCAGTGACTTCAGCTTATGTATCAGTTGGCCATCTTTTTATATGGCCTCCTCACCAGAGAGATTTCAGAATTGGAAATGCAATTAGCAGAACTGTCATGATTGCTTTTATTTAAATTTAGTTTAGTTTATCACTATATACCACATTATTTATCATCATCCTGCCAGTTTTTGTTTTGTTTTATTATCATTGCTACTGAAATTATGGAAATCAGTAGATGGTAACTGTCATTTAAATATTGGAAATTTTTTTTAAAAAAAAAACCTCAGAAAGTTCAACCATTGTATGGAGTTATATGAATTTCAGTCTTTGGAGAACAACTCCAAAATCAAATAATCCCTGGTGTTCTTAGTTCCTATATGGTGTAAGACTCCAATTTCAGAAATAGGAAATATGATTGATTCTAAATTAAGTAGGAGGTAGATGAAACAAATGTTCAAGAAGTTCAATTATTATAAGTTTTAATGTTAGTGATGTGAATTTTCCATGGTATTTAATGCTAAAGCACAAACAGTTTTAAAAATCTTTCTGTTTTCTTTTGCATTTTCTTTCTATGGCATCACCCAGGCAAGAAATTGAGAAAACACAGAATTATCTAGTAAAACTTAAGGACCGAATCATACCACCCTATTTCAAATCTGAATTGAGCCAGTATTATCAGTCTCGGGTAATTGATTATAATTAACAACTAAATTAATCTTTATAAAAGCTTTGATACTACATATGTTAGTATGTAATCTCTCTCTCTCGATGGTTAATTATCTACTACATCAACATGACTAGCGAACTTGTACCTTTCAAATCCATGTTCTCTCATAGGGAAGACTAATTCAGGTCCCACGTCAAAGTAGTGCATGGCTTTCCGTTATTCCCCTCCCTGTCACCGTCACTGTTACCCTCCCTATTATAGTTTAAGCTTTCTGTGGAGTTGAATCTTCCCTGTCGATGATTATCCTCTGGCAAAGTTCGTATTGAAGTTTCAGTCCCTTTCAGACTTGCTCGTGAATCACCGGCTGACATAATGTGAAGATGCTATGAGATTGCCCTTGCATGCACAAATGCTCTCCTTTTCTACATCAAGCTGACCATTCCAGAATCATCCACCTGATGTTCCCTGCTTGATTAACAGTCCTTTAAAATCCTGAAGCGGGGCCCAGCGCGGTGGCACAAGTGGTTAAGGCCTCGCCTTGCACGCCCAGGATCCCATATGGGCGCCGGTTCTATCCTGGCAGCCCCACTTCCCTTCCAGCTCCCTGCCTGTGGCCTGGGAAAGCAGTCGAGGACAGCCCAAAGCTTTGGGACCCTGCACCTGCGTGGGGGACCTGGAAGAGGCTCCTGGCTTTGGACCGGCATAGCATCGGCCATTGCGCTCACTTGGGGAGTGAATCATTGGATGGAAGATCTTCCTCTCTGTCTCTCCTCTCTGTATATCCGCCTTTCCAATAAAAATAATAATAATAAAAAAATCTTTAATATCCCAAAGCAAAGCAATGTGCTCAGAATTTCCTTATTTCCCCCAAGAAACTCCAGGTGCTATTATTAACCAGCATGTGCTTGGTAAGAGATGATTTAAAAAAAAAAAGTCACCAATCAATGCAAGTTAGAATTGAGTTCTTCAGTGTCCTTGAATAGTTGTATTTAGCACACTTTCTTTTCAGGCCCTTAAAATATATGCTTTCAAGGGCAATTGTTGTGGAACAGAATGTTGCTGTGTGGAATATCGACATTCCATGTGAGTGCCAGTTTTAGTCACAGCTGTTCTGCTTCTAATCCACTTCCTTGCTAATGCACCTGGGAAGGCAATGGAGGGCGGTCCAGGTGCTGTAACCCATGTGACTCATGTGGAAGACCTGGATGCAATTTCTGGCTCCTGCCTTATCCCTGGCCTAACCCCAGTCATCGCACTTTGGTGAATAAGCCAAGATACGGAAGGTTTCTCTCACTCTGTCTCTCTGTCTCTCTCTCCCCCCTCCCCCACATCCCTCTCCCCTCTCCCATCTCTCTCTCTATATGTATATGTAGATAGATTATACATAGATTATAAACAATTCTGCCTCTTAAATAATTGAGTATTTTTAAAAATCTTTGTCATGTATAAATCTAAAAGAAGACTTTTTTCTTATATAGTGTGATTATCTGGATAGTCTTTCCAGAAAACTGCCTCCTTTTGTAAATAAATATGGAGATACAAACATCACAGATATTCAAGATACCACAGAACTTCTCCCAGGTAAAATATTAGTGCATTTCTTATTCCTATTCAATGTACTTTACTAAATAACACCTGCCAATGGCTTTTTAAAATATAACCCATTCATCCTACCTTTAGAAGTAGTGATTGGTTACACTCTGCTATGAACCTCTTATTACAGATTTGGCTGAAATCACGAGGAAATCAAGGTGTAAGTAAAAAATTAGAGTTCATCCTCTATAGTTAAAATTTACCCCAAAATATTTAGAATACCTGAATAATTTAAAAACATTCAAGGGGTAATGAAAGGATGTTATCAAGCAGGGCATTTAGAAAGTGTTTGCATAGCAATGTAAGAGTTACTAATTAATTATAAAATAGAGTGTACCTTCATAGCAGAGATATACATGTTTTCTACCTTATGTGCATACTCAAATTCCACACTTGGTGAGGCAACCTAGAATCACATGTTTCCTCTTGGAATGCAATATGCAACGCATGGTAGCTGTTTAGAGTCGTGACTGTATTCAGGAGGAGGCAATCTGACAAATGTTCTCCAAGGTGTAGGCATTCTGTAAGACAACTGGTTTCCTCTCTTCAAAAAAGTCAGTGTAATTAAAGCAAAAATGAAAGGTGACTATTCCACATTAAAAAAAAACTATTTGTCACTGTAAAGATACCACTATGGCTGCAAAAGCCAGTGCTGGGCTAGGCTGAAGCCAGGAGCCTGTGGAACTCAACCTCATTATCAGATATGGGTGGCAGGGACTTGAGTACTTGAGCCATCATCTGCTACCTTCCAGCGTAAAGGTTTAGTAGGAATCAGGATTGGAGATGGAAGAGCTAGGATTCAACCGAGCCATGCTGATTCAGAATGTGGACATCCTAGGAAACCTTGAGCACAGTACCAAATGCCCATCTTGACCGTTCATTTCCTGATGGTAGTGCTGATGATGTGTGGGACAGTGTCTTCATTCTCAGTGGTAGCGTGAACAGTTTAGGGATGAGATGAAATCTAGAACCTCTCTTCAATAAACTTGAGTAGTTAAAATACCAGATAGAGAACTTTTCTACTATAAAATATCAGGAATTAAGTTACCTATAATAAGCATATCTGAAGAAAATATCTAATGGCAAACAGTTTGGAAATCGGCAGTTAATGCTGGCACAGTGACTTGTAAATGTAATGGTGAGAAAGCGAGGAAGGTAAGTTGATGGTTCTTGTGTTACCAATAAGACTGCCTGTGAAAGGAAGAAGGGAGGCTGCAGAAAGCTTTCCATCACAGTGCTTCAGACAGTCATGACCGTTCAGAGACGGAACATGCACGCAGCCAAAATTTGTGTACTTTCCCAATCCAACATATATGTTTTTAAAATTTTTTATGCTATTATTGTTTTTCATGATACAGTTTTATAGATTCCCCCTTTAACTTCCCTTGCTCCATCACTCTTTCCCCCTCCCTACTCCCCCCCCATGTTATTACCACAGTATAGACCTTTTAGCAATAATAACAAATTTAACATTCCACCATTTAAATGCATCATGGCATTGTAGATATAGTAGAAAATCTCGTCTTGTATTATCAAGACATGTTTAACTGTTTCATTGGGAGTCTTCCTTTTGTTCAGAAGCAGAGATGCCTGTCACAGTATATCTTCATGTGCTGGTATGCTAATCTCCATTATGCAGCTCACTGTGAGAATATACGCACAGACTTGTTCACCCATTTATCTATGTGTTTTATTGGCATGAAGATTGCCTTACATCATAAAGAACATATGACATTTTTCTTTTTGAGACTGGCTTATTTCACTGAGCATAATCATCTCCATAAATATATATTGTTTTATAATTTGTTTCACAAGGCACCTATTTCTTATACAACATTTTTCAAAATTTCTATAGAGATTTATTTTCACGGTGATGAATAGATTTAAGATTGGCAATATATATTTTTTTAATTTGGGGGGAAACATTTTTAAAAACACACCTCAGTTACAAAGTAAAGTAAAAGACATGTTACTTGGCCTCACAGCTTCTGCACTTGCCAGCTTTTCATTGCTACAGCTAAGATACCCGAGGGAGGTAACTTATAAAGAAAAAAGTAGATGCTTATATACTCTTTAGGAGCTCTATCAGTCTGGTGTCTAATGGAGGTAGAATATCACAGAGCATGTGGCAAAACAGAAAATAGAGAAGCTAGGCCCAACGCAGCCTTTATCACCAACCCAACCTGTAATGACAACTGTCTTCTGAGGCCATGGCTCCAAGGACCTGACACAGGACCTACCTCTTAGAAACCGTAATAATAGCAAATCCTCAATCCTCAATAATAGCAGCAACTCATTAATGCTAACATAAGACTGAGATTTAAATGCCTGCCTGAGTCGGGGAGCTAGAGCATGTTTAATAGAAGCAACAAGGTGGCACCTCTACCATGTCAGTCCTAGCACCCACAGAGGACCAGTGGTCTGCTCAGGAGTTTGAACCGGGAAGCCACCGACTGTTGGTGGTAAACAGTACAATATGTCATGAACAGTATCTGCCTCCTCATAGCCTTCTGTTATTTATCCTTTCTAATGAAAAGCACCTCATTTGTTGTAAAAACACACTGTTGAATGTTTGTTCATGCGAACAATAGAGGTCATCGTATCATTGTCCAAAAATCTAATATCACTTTATTATGTTTGTTTTTGGTTCTCTAGATTCTAGTTCCCACCTATATTCAGAAGAAGACTCCTCAAATATGCCTGCTATGCCAAAGCTGGAGATTTCCGTGGATACCAAGGAGGCTGTTGACGAGAACCAAACAGAAAATTTACCAAAATCTGCCGAAGGTATGGAAAGTAATTTTCTTCATCTCATTGTTTCTCAAAAATGAAGCCTAAGCATGTGTTGAGCACTAAGGGGTGTCCCAAGGGCTGAGTGCGGCTGGCCATCATAGGAAACCTAAACAGTGTGGACCTAGTAAGGCTTCCGGAGACACCACCTGTCTCTGAAAGTATTGTGAGAGTTACTGAAGTCCAAAACTGAAAAAAACGAATCAGCAATACTTTTTTTTTTAGATTTAAAAATGTTTTTATTGTATTTCATTTTTTTAAAAAAAATATTATCCATCATGGCTCTGACAGCTGGTGCAATGCATCAAAAGGCAGACATCTTATAGCTTGTTTTGTTTTTGTTTTTGTAGTCAAGTGTTTAGGTAGATGGGTAATCCCTTTTTTCTTCTTAATTTCAGTATTTTCTTAGTCCTGCAAGTAGAAACAAGAGGGATATAAAATGTAGTCTGTGTCCTGCCACAGCGCATGTTCTTATGGGATAGCAAACACTGAAATATAGAATACAGAAAAACATCTAATTATGGCAGATTCACAGCCTCAGAGATTAGAGACATCTGAGAAGCCAGCCAGTGGAGAGGAACACGCTTTGTTTCTCTGCCTCTAAAACAAAAACCAACCCAAAACAAAATCAACCTACCAGCAAACAAAAATACAAAACAAAACGAACAAGGAAGGACAGTAACAACAACCTGAAGTGTACTGACCTGCAGGACAGGATGCTCAAACCCTGAGGGTGGACTGGGAATGCCGGGCTGCTACCCAAGAAACACACAGACACTTGTACTGCGTGAATGAGAATGCCCAAAGCTCTTTATTTCACTCTTCATATAAATACCTTCTTCTCTAGAGGAGGAGGAGAAGGGGAGGGGTTTCTTATAACTAATCATCTATATTGAAACAAGGGAGGAACTAATCATCTATATTGAAACAAGGAAGGAACTAATTATTTGAACAGGAACAAGGGCGGAGGTTCTGTTCCGCTTGCTTTGCACGGGATGGACTGGCCGCAATATCCTGCTTGCTGTGGCCCTGCTTGCCCAAGGTAGGTTTTGCAATGCAGAAGATTGTCAGGCATGCCAACAAGTCTAAGGCCCATAAGCCTGTAGCTCCCAACACCGAAGTGCTGTAAGATACTTTAGATAAAGGAAAATAATGTGACTCCATTGTAAATCCCAATTTGCTTTCTGATATTGATAATAAAGTTTAAAGAGATTCAAAACAGGACTGGATTAGGACAAGCAGTAGAGAAAGCTTTCTAGGACAAGTGGTCTAGAGGAACAAACTAAATTTCTTAAGAGTTTTGGATTCAGGAGTGTGGAGCACTTAAAATGACATGCATTGTGCTTGAGAAAACTGCCAGCTACAAAATGTATGCGCCTCAATGCTTGCTATGATGACAATGCTAGAAAACATCCTTAAATACTGTGGTGGCTTTCACGAATCAGTATGTGAGGGCCAGAGGCCCCTGAGAGCAGATTGTACCAGCTCTTCCCAACTCCACGTTCCATCACATTATGATAATTACTTAAGCCAGCTATAGCAAAGGCTGCAGGTGAGCAAGTAATACCAGCCTGGAGACTAGGAGCAATAATTCTTACACATGAGACTAATAATGCATTCATCCAGAACGGTTTTTAATGTATACAGAGTAAGAGCATGAACAGAAAGCTGCAGTAAACCGTTAGAATTGCCGTTTCTAGGGGATGGTTAACAAAACCAGGACACCGAGGAGGTCTAGCCCCCAGAGATCTAGATTCTGATCTGATTAGGAATGGGGCTGTCTGGCACATGGGATGGGAGCCTATATTCCCAGAAGAAGCTCAGGGGATTAAGATACACAGATGGGTTCAGGACACACTGGGTGCAAGAGGAGGTCTAGTCCTGTAGAATCACTAACACTTAGGTTCACATGCCAACCCTACCCCTGAGCATCAGTTCTTTCTTGTATAAAGAAGAGACACTGTGACACCGTTGACGAAGGCTTCTCAATTTCTAACTGAGAAAAACAAAAATCAAAGGTGGAGGGGGGTGGCAATTTATTGATTCTCAAAAGCAAACCACAGAAGAGTGGCTTAAGGGTCAGGCCAATCTCGGGAATGTTTGGATTCAGGAACTCTGGGTCTCCAAGAGTTTGTTTGCCTATGACTGCTCGTTTCTCTCCACATGCCTGTGACTGTTTCTCTCCACGTGCTCTTTTTCCCCATCTATCTCACCCCATCCCTACTTGTTCCTATTTGGATTTATCCCTCCCTACAAAACACACTCCATCTCCACACTGCAGGGATCATGACCATAAAAGCCAACGAGGCTGATTTTTCCAGATGCACAACCTCACAGGCAAGATGAGAGGTCCACCCCTTTGTGGAAGGCCCTCATCAGCTGTGCTGGGTCATCAGCTGTCCTGAGGGTGGGATCAGAGATGTTGTGGCAGCTGCTCTGCGTGCAGGCAGCAGCAGTGGCAGCCGTGTTTGAGGAGGAGCGTGTGTGAAAGTGGAGATGGGCAAGGGCTGAGCATACCGCTTAGGGTCAGCCTTGTCCTCTCACCCAGCATGTTATGAGAGCTGAGTTAGACACTTAGTAGTGGAACACTCACATATTGGCTCCTCTCCCTCTGTGTGTGATTGGAATGCAGGATTTCTAAGACACCGTAATGTTCAGAGCTCTGGGGATTTAGCTCTCTGGCTTAATGTATGTATTTGTGAATCTTGCAGCACTTTTTAGAACCACACGTTTGACAGACATCAGCAGAATCAAAGAAATCCTTAAGATCTGGCACCCAATAATGTTAAGGATTCTTTCAGTGTTTTTTTTTTTTTTATTATTGTTTGCTTGCTTACTTGTTGTTTTGGTACTGCACCTTACTGATCTCTTGCAGAACCAGACAGCAGTTCACCACAGGCAAGTCACCTGACTTCTTAGACACTTGTTCTTTTTTTTTTTTCCGTTTAGTTTCTAACAGTACCTGTCCTGCCCATCTCACAGGGTGTAGGGAGAACCAGGATTAAGTTTTATGTATGTATATATATGATCATTTTATGAAAGGTACAAATATAAAGTGATAAATTTATTCTTTTAAAGAAACTCTTTAAAAATTGAAGAGGACAAGTTGCAACTTGATTGATATTCTTAGATGCTTTGGTAGTGCCACAAGTAGTTATGAATGAAATATCCATGTAGAATACTTTAAACTCTTTGATAGAACAAGAACTGTATGCGCCTGTGAAGGTCCCGATCCAGTCGTTGCTGCAGGATGTTGCGGGCAGAGCCAGGAAAGAAAAAGTGAGGTTACCTCATTACTTGCAGAGTTCCAAGCCCAAGTCTCAGCCTCTGGAAAAGGTAAGGCAGATGTCAGGACAAATTTCCCAGAGCCCAGCAGCATTCTATCAAGTTCTGACTCATCAGAGTGACTTCTTTCCAGCCACTGAGCTGCTGTCCATTCTGTCTGCCACTTCACACACAAACACTAAGACGGCCCTTCGCTGGAGCTGCTCCTGCAGGCTTGTGAGATGAATTGGATGACCCAGTTGTTAAATTACTGTTAATTCAAAGTCAGCCATGGTGGGAATGCTAATGTACCAACTTGGTAAACACTGTTAATAGTTTTTGGAGAGCCAGTTAATCAGGTTACTCTCTTGCTGAAGGGATCTCTGTCACCCTTCTCATGACTCTTGGATATAATCTGAATAGCATGAGCACAAGGCCTGCCCATACTTGTTTCTTCAGCCTCACTGCCTGAGACTCACAACACTTGAGCCGTTGCAGGTTTCTCTTAGTTGTGTAAAAGCACTGAGATCCTTCCCATCCTCAGAATATGTAAAGATCAAAAATCCATTGAGTTCTTATTTAAAGGCTTCCTTAAACCCATCAGGCAAATTCAGAATTCTTCCCCCATTTTTTTAACTTGCATGGCACACTGCATTTTTCACCATTGTAGTGCAACATATGTAACTAGACAAGTGATGTGCATGTTTCTTAAATTTTAAGATACATATGACTGAGCTAGGACTCTTTTTAAAATGTGTGCTCTGATTCACCAGGTCTTGTGTGGGACCTAGGATTTAACCAGGTCTAACAAGTTCGCAGGTGAGTCAGTACTGAGTGTCCGTGTTGCTGATGTAGAGAACAGTAAGAGCACAGAACTGTGGGTTCTGTGCTGTTACTAACAAGCAGCATACGCAACACCTGAAGACTAGTAATGAATGGAAAATCCTGGGCTCCACCTCAGACTTCAAGGAGCAGAGAATTGGACCCTAATGAATCTTCCAGGAAATTCTGATGGCACTAATGTTTGCCAATGACTGGCACAAAGGAAACAGCATAGATTTTGTAGTCAGCCAAGTTTCCTTCAGTTGTCTGAACTTGAGTGCCCTTACTTTTAAAACAACACCTAACATCTTTCTTTATACTCTTTTTATCAGGATTACAGGAGACTATAAATCTTTATTTCCTCCCTCAGCCAATCAGTTATTTTCCTCTGGTGACAGGATTCTTCTTGAGAAACCCAAAGAGAATCTTTTTTAGTTGATCACGTATTGCTTACCGCACAGGTGCAAGATTCTGTTGGAGGAAAAGTGAATACGTCCTCTGTGGCGGCAGCTGCCATAAATAACGCAAAGTCGTCGCCTTTTGGATTCCATCTTCTCCCATCATCCGTGAAGTTCGGAGTGCTTAGAGAAGGAGACACCTATGCAACCATTGTTAAGCTCAAGAACATCGGCGTGGACTTCTGCAGGTGAGGCTAAGGTACCAGATGTCCCCACAGGTTCCCTTGCCCTACTGCCTGGTTTGTCTGTGTCCGCTGACATCAGTGAATATTTCATGGCATCTTGAATTTTCACATCATTCACTTACTTACACTCTACTACATTCGTCTGCTAACTAACTCCTCTACTCTTCAATGAACCAGTAAATATGGAGCACTATTTGGTAGGCAGTTCTTTAGTGTTAATTATCACTTATACTTTGATGGAAGCAACTCAACCCCCAAATTACAAGGGCAAAAGACAAAGGAGGAATGGCAGAAGAGTTGTCAGAACTAATGCAAAAACCTCAAAGTCTATTTCTTAAAATCCATCACCAATTGCAACAATAGAAGCTAACATGTATTTGCACTTAATGATTCAAAAACTGGGTCTTTTAAAATTATTTTATTATGAATATTTAGTATACGAAGTTCAAATGTATATACAGCACAGTTTTCTAGGATACATATACATGTTGAAAAGGGTACTATGTTGAAGCAAATCAACATACCCATTATCTCATGTAGTTACCTATTTTCTTATGTTTGTGACAAGAGCAGTTTACACGTTTAGCATGACTCTTAAACACCATTGCTTTGCCTGTTGTTCTCTATCATATGTTAGATCTCTAGATTTGATTGTATCAGTTACTTTGTGCCCTCTGAGCTACAGTTCTGAGTTCTCCCTACCCAGCACACCATCACTGCCTTTTTCATGTGTTTAAGAGCCCACATTCAAGTGAGATCATGCATTACTTTTTTTTTATCTGTGCTTGGTTTATTTTACTGAATTTAATGTTCTCCAGGCTCATCTCTTGTGACAAATCTGCAAGATCTGGGTTTCTGGGCTGAATAGTATTCCATTGTAAATATGTACAACTGAGTCAATGGACCCTTAGGCTATCTGTATGTCTTGTTGTTATGACCCAGAATGCAGATCTATCTTCTAAAAATTCATTTCCTTTGCATGTATGTCTGGAAATAGGATTGCTGCTTAATAGGATAAGTTATATTTTCACTTGCGGTCTGTTCCGCATGATTATCGCCACAGCTGCTCTCGTTCAGTTATCATTGGTGTGGAATAGCTTCTGTCCTTTCACTTTCAATCCATTTGTCCTTAAAGCAACATACAGTTGGATCTCCCACCCCCTTTTTAAAATCCATTTAGGTCTGTCTTTTGACAGGAGAATGTGATCCATTTAAAATCAATTATTATCAACAGCCACAGACTTCCTTTGCCATCTTGCCATTTCTTTTCTGGTTATTTTCTAATTCTTCTGTTCTTCCTTCCCCTCTCCCTCTCCACCCATGTGATTTGATAATTTCCTGTTAACACTAAGCTTTGATAATTTCCTATCATTTGTATACTTGCTATAGTTTTTTTTTTGCTTTAGTTACCATGTGGTTTGTATATATATTGTATATGATATATATAAATATATATATAATATATACAGTGCTTTTTGAGATACTAACAATCTAATTTTTACCTAATATAAAAACACCGGAGTTTTACCCTTTCCCTTCAGTTTATGGTATCACAGCTTACATCCTTTTATTCTGTATATTTAACAAGGTATAGCCTTAATTAATTTTGAGCATTTGACTTTGACCTTAACGCTAGATATGTGTTTGACTTACACAGCATCTTTATAGTATTAGTGTATACTGGATTTGGTTATCTATTTTTATCAATAAGTTTTATGCTTTCATATGTTTTCCTAATAAGTAATTATAAATTTTTGTTGTGCACAAATACTCCTTTATGCAGGTCTAGTACTACTGAATTACTGTAGCTTTTGTTGTCTGTGAAGGACTTTATTTTTTTTAAGATAATTAATTTTATTTTTGATGGTTTTTACATAGCTGATTAGGGTGCAAAGGATCAAGGGCTACAGCAAGGTGGGTGAGACCATTATTTCCACATCCTCTTTTTTCTTTCCTGTATCTGGGGGAAGGCTTAATATAAGGGAACAAGTCACACCCAGCCTCCCAATGGCCTCCATATTCTGGGATGGAGAACAGCCACCTAATGCCATCCCAGAGTCCCCATTGTGGGATATGCTCCAAGGATCCTGCTTATGAGGTTTTGATGGTTCATCAGTTCTGAATTACTGCTGATCTCACCACTCCAAGCACAATGAAATCTCTCCAGAATCCATTGGTTGCCAGTCTACCTTAGAGTCTCTGCCCAGATATTCACTGTCAACACTTGGCTGGGATAGTTGATCAATTTGTTCTGTTTTCTGTTCTGATACCAGTTGAGGACTTTTCTGATGGACAGCTGTTGGGTATAATGTTCTTGGATGGTAGTCCTATTTCAGCCTGTTAGGTGTATCACATCATTCTTTCCTTGTCTGCAAACTACTGTTTAGAAATATGCTGATTGTCTATTGGAGATTCCCGTCTATATAACTTTACATTTTTTTGCATTCAAGTTTTTTTATTATGAAAAGTGTTTTTTATTAGGAGATGTGTTTTAAACTGCATTTCTACCAAATTGGGACAAAAAGGATTTAAAAAAAAAACCCAATCCTGAAACATTATTAAGGTCATTTTAGGTGTGAGGAAGAAATTTAGAATTAACAACGAACACTTTAACTCACAGTCTGCAATATCCCAAATGAAAATAAAACATTTTGGCATTTGATGACAAAACAGTCCTTCCTTTCTAGATGAAGAACAATAAAATCTTAGCATTTGTGGGGACAATATAGACTATCACACAGGAAGAAACTATAAACCGCTTTAGTCTTGTAGGCCAGGTTGAGGCCAGACCCGAGTTCTCATGTCCCAGCTCATGGCTGTCTTCGCCACATTAAGGTACTTGGCTTCATTAACACAGGCCTGGTCACTAGCTTCATGAAATAAGTCCTTTCCATTGTGCTGTTATATTATACATCCAGGCCAAGACCATTCTCACCTACAAATGTCCAACATTCTAGTTTGGATTAAACTTACACATAATGTGAAAGGGAAGGTTGATAAAAATGAAGCAAATATTTACTTCAGTTGCAGAAATATTCTCAGTATAAGTGGCAAGTCCTTCCAGAATGTTTTTAATTCTGAACTCAGGACTGGAAGCCAGACTGAGCAGAATGACAGCAGCATTCTGTTAAAAAAAAAAAAAAAATCATTGTCCCACTTTATGGGAGGCCAAACCCAACTTCATGAATAACAGCACAACCAAGAAGGGGACTTAGGCTACCAAATAAGACATCATTTTTCCAGGTTGTTGTCAACGACATGGGGTGGTGGGTCAGGGAGGAGAGATGGTTCCCCTCAAGCTGGTAAAATGTGTCCCAGCATATCGTGTTGTTCCAGGAAGTGTTGTTTATGATTTTTCTTCTAGACTTGTTCAAATCAGATACAGGAAGGCCAGCCACAAAGCTGATGGTAGAAGGGGTAGGCTTGGGGTCAGTGTGGAGGTAGGCCTTCCTTGGCATTTTAATTGACTCCAGGTCTTCAAGCTTCTGGCAGAATCCACAAACTGCATGCAAGGAAGATCAATAAGCACCATATGTGAACAGAGAGCTTTTTAAGTTCTTCCGCGTTTTCTGAGCCCTTTGTTTCTACTCTTCCTAAGCATGCAAACTCCATCCCAGTGTCAGAGCAAGATCAGCTCCCATGCTGCACTGCTTTCCAAAACAAGCCTTTGCTTCCTAAGCCGAAGGATCTGGCTGCCAGTGTTTGCATTCACTCTGGCAGTTCTGCTGAAATGCGCTCACCAGCCAAGCTCACAACACTGTTCAGGCCTGAGCTGTTCCATCAGCAATCAGTAACAAAAGGTTGAAACTCAGGTTGGAATCTGTTTCATGCTGATGAAAACTGTTGGAAAGGCAGTTGTGAAATGGCCCCAGATTCTTCACCCAATTGAATATTAAAGTAGTTTTTCTAATGGTATGGATCCTTGGTATGCTGAATTTTAATACTATACTGATTTTATCATCCTACTTTATTTGATTCTTTATGTTTTTCATTATGACATAAATTTATTTCTTTCTGCCTAATAGATTTAGAGTGAAGCAGCCCCCACCCAGCACGGGCCTGAAAGTGACTTACAAACCTGGGCCTGTAAGTGCTATGTGTGTCATCTGTTGGTGTATGTACATGTAGAATTATACATGGGTTTACAGTGAAGTGAGCTTTTAAATAATTCTGTCCAACTTGTTTAAACCATAGATAAGTCTTCATTTTTCTAATATAAACAATTGATTTCTGGTTTTAGTATGAGATATAACTTCATGTAAATGAAACTGCTAGCTGTGGAAATATATCTAAAGCTCACTTTACTTGGCTCAATAGTTTAATTATGTAGCATCCTTTTAAAGATAAACCTATCCTTTAAAAAACTGAATTCTATAATATTATATTCTTAGGATTGTATCTGTGAATTATACTGAATTTTAAAAGCTGAGTTTTTTTTTTTTTTTTGTAATTCTGAGAAGTGAAAGATCCTTTGAAAAAAATAATTATCCCATTCCTTATAAACAACTGGTTTCTTCTCTTGGTGTTTGCCATGAAAAGATATTTATTGCCATATTGAGAAATAACAGAGGAACCAGCATGGTGGCTCAACAGGCTCAGCCTCCACTTGCAAGTTCCAGCATCCCAGATTGGTGCTGGTTACTGTCCAGGCTGGCTGCTCCACTTTCCAATGCTCTGCTTGTGGCTTGGGAAAGCAGTGGAGGGTGACCCAAGTTCTTAGCCGACTCAGAAGCTCCTGGCGCTGAGCTTTGGATTAGCTCAGCCACAGCCATTGTCGTTTGGAGAGAGATCCAGTAGAAGGAGGATCTCTGTCTTCCCTTCTCTCTGTAAATCTGCCTTTCCAATATAAATTCATCAACTGCCTTATCTCCACAGATTGCTGAAAACCTAAACTTAAAAATGTCAACCTGTTCTGACTTCATTCGATGCATTCCCTAAAATGAGTGTTTTGTATATTCCTACTTATACTTTCTCAAGTACAGTGTGGTATTAAAAAAAAAAGTCTACCTTTATAAATCTTACTGTATCTTCTAGAATGCTTTAACGTCCATTTCATTTCACATAGAAAAAACTGTTGAGTCCTTCCCTTATGCCATTCTTGCTGCCAAGGTACGGAGGTTTAAAAAAAAAGAGTTGACAAGCTTTCAGAGACAGACACAGGGCAAGTACTCAAGACATGTGACTGTGGAATAGAATGAAGTAACACTATGGTAGATACCTAAACTGCTCATCAGGAACAAGAACACTTCTAGGCACATACAGGCAGTTGGCAGGGTATCGGGTCCAGGGGTCCAGAAGCAGCCTATTGTGCTCCTGGATCTGAAGCCATTAAGGCAGCCTCAGTGTCACACACCCTGAGAGGGTGAGTTGGACATAGCATTCCATAGGCTGCTCGTCATGATGGTACTAAGTAGCTCAGTGATAATGCTTTGAGCCTTGTTTTTCCCATCTAGAAAAGAGAGAGGTTAGAGCAGAACCCTTCCTAAGCCATCTTTTTCAATATTTTTATGATCTACTTTTAAAAAAAGTAGTATGTATGTTGCAACTGTATACAGGAGTGCATTTTGGTATTGAATCAACTAAGTCATGAGCACTTCTGAAACAATTCATCATTTCTTGCTGACTATCAAGATTTCAGAATATTCACAACATAAGGCCAAAATAAAACTCAAAGCAAGGCCTTTTTTCACTGTTGCTGGGAACAGTTCTGGGAAGTTAGTAAATCTCATTTCGATTTGAAGTAGATTATGTCAAAAGCCGAGACGATTGTTGGACGGATCCTTCTAAGTACTAACATTGCAGTGTGTACTTCGAAGCTCACTCTACGCCGTTATGTGTGTGTTTTTTTTTTTTTCATTTGTTTCCTTTTTGACAGTAAGTTTTGGCTCTGGCAAAAAAATATAATCTACAGACCTCTCCATTTGTAAACCTAACCACTGTTCAGCTTGGTTACTTGCCAGCACTCAAAGCCTGGGTAAAACTGTATCATGGCGACATTCCAGACCCCCTCATGCCGAATTTCGTCATTGCCCAACCCTGCTCTGATTGTTGGCCTTGGAGGACGAAGGGTCTTATTCTCAGAAACAGAGCTGTTGGATACCCTCCAGGAAGCATACGCTTCCACATTGTTGAAAAACTGAAAACATTTTTCAATTCTATCATTTGTAAAAATATATCCTAGAAAAAAAATCTATTTGTATCTAATTCCTTTCCATGTGGTAGTTTCTGGTTTATTTTTTTCCAGATAACTGTTCCCAAGTCTGTCTTTTAAACCCACCTCCTGGAGAGGCAGCTTTAGAAACATAAACAGTTCTTTTTTTTTTTTTTCCTGGGTAGTGTTTTTTCCAAGGAGTAAGGTAGGAATCCTATGCCTTGTCATGTAGATCAGGTTTCTTTTTTTATTGGTGCCTCTTTTCCTAAGGCTTTCAGACCTAAGCAGGATGGTGTGTGCACTAATGCTGTCTCCCTCTGCTGGCACTGTCACTTTCCACAACCTGCAGTTGGAACACTAGGGACAGGGCAGAGACCTGGAATCCACCAATCTCTCAGCTATTTGAGTTTAAACAAGGACTTAGCACTAATTGTACTGATGCCCACAAGTCTAGATTCATCTGTCAAGGAACAGCCCAGTTACAGGAACTGCAGCAGTTTGCCTCCAGCGCCATGTGCAGCACCCTGACATTTAGTTTCCTTATGCCATTTCCCAAACAGCAGCCGGTTTACTCCTCCAGCAATTCTTGGCCACCCCATACTCAGTGACATTTTGTGTAACCTATGAAATAAGTTGTTAAATGCTTGTAACAACTACCACATTCTGGTGTCACGGAAGAAACCAGGGGTTATATAGCTGAAGTAGCTTGTGCAAATCAGTGTTAAAACTGAAATTTCGACTCCTGTGTCGGTGATCCTAAAGCTACACTGTCTCTTACAGGTGGCAGCTGGTTTGCATGCAGAACTGAAGGTGGAGTTATTTGCCATGGTTGCTGGAGAGGATGGTGCCAAGGGATCAACACGCATCTCTCACAATATTGAGATCATGACTGAGCATGACATTCTGTTCTTACCTGTGGAGGCAAATATCCTTTAAAGTTCAGTTAGAGTAATTACATAGAATGCAGCAATTACATCCAAGTAAGGAAAACTTGGAGGTCAAAATGCCTCTCCATCCTTCATCAATTCCATCCTTAAAGTTCCAAAAGTTAACCAACTCTTCCATGACATAGACTGTGTCTTCACTCATGTTTGAACTCACCTCGTTGAATCTAAATCACACCTGACACATGTGCAATAACTAAAAATTAAATGTCAGTGGTTACTCACTGGATATCAAACAATCAGAATAATGTAAGTGCAAGTGCTCTGTCATCAGAAAAATCTGTGAACTTGCTGGGGAAATAAGTGAGGCCTTCTTATTTATGAAGTTAGATCTTACTGAATTATGCATGCAATACCTCACACTGGTACCTCTAGACAGTCATATCCTATAGTCTCTATTATATGGTAGGTACTGTATAAAATATATGTATAAATGGAAAGTTTGACTTTATCTGGAAGCTATCATCACAATGATCTCTATATAGTATTTTATACTTCTCCAATGGCATGGATTATATATTGTTTATCTGTAAGTAAAGGAACCACTGAAATTAATTTTATTTGACAGGATAAGACATGGATAAGACATGGCGTAGGGAGGAAATTGCAAAATCTAAAGTGAAAACCGTTAATGGAAGGGAAAAAAGGACATAAGGGTTCAATTCCAACATTTTAAGTCCAGGTAATGAATCACTAACATGCAGAGTTGATCTCAATCCTTTAGAGGGGTGATGCTTTAAAGCATGAGAAACAAAAAGTAACTTGGATCTGTTTACAGAAGAACCAATGGGGACAAACTAAACAATCAGAAAATCAGATTTTGGAAACCACAAAGAACTTCAGGATAAAGATGGGCAGATGACAGAAGCTATACAAGATGTCAAAAACTAAGCAGTTTTTGTAGGCTGAAGAGAAACATCATACTATGAATGGACAGAAACAATAGAAACTGCCAACATCCAAGCAAGGGGAAGAGAATAATGTAGAGCACAAATAAAAGGGCCAGCCTTGGCAACGGATGAGGTGGAGATGGCTTGAGGACTCTGAGGTGAACAAAGAAGCGGGTGGGAACTCAAGGCAGATGACCTCAATTTCAACTTAGTCTTTTTAAGTCTGGGGATATAGTAATAAACAAGACAGCAAAATGCCTGCTTTTACATAGTTCACATTCAGGTTGGGGCCATGGATAGTAGACAAAAATAAATGTGAACTATGATGTGGTAAAGTACAATAGGGGAGAATGCAAAGTAGGAGAGGGAAAATGGAACTAAGGAAATCACGGCATGAAATAGTCAGAATTAGGGCTGGGGTCTTTTTTTTCCCCCCTCTTAAGTAAAAGAAGCTTTCACTGTGTAACTAACCAAGATACCAGTTTATTGTAATTTTTTTCCCCACCATCTAGGAATTAAGTCCTCTCACTCTTCACACAGGCTATTTTAGATATTAGTATACGGCACTTCAAAACGTTAATGTAAAATGGAAATAAGACAGAAATTTATTTTTGTATAAGAAAACCTTGAAATCCATGCATACGAGTGGTCTTCAAAAAGTGAATGGGAAAACATGTCTTATGGTTGAAAGCTGCTGCACCTGGGATGCTAACCTTCCACATCAGAGTAGCAGTTTAAGTGCCAGTTCCTCTGCTTCCAGTCCACCTGCCTGCAAATAATCCTGGGAAGCAGTGGATGAGGGCTTAAGTACCCGAGTCCCTGCAACCCACGTGAGAGTCCCAGGTAAAGTACCACGCTCCTGGCTTTAACCTGGCAGTTGTGGCCATTTGGAGTCAACCAGCAGCTGGACGATTTCTAACTCTTAAATAAACCTTTAAAAAAATGCATGGGTTTTAAGAATATTTTTTTTGTACTACATCAAACTTATCTTTCAATTCAACTTCACACAAAACTTTTGATGTACGTCTTAAGGCCTTAAGGTATAGAATTTATTTTAGACAAGTACCTAAAATTGAGCTAATTTTGTTAGAGTTGCCATGTGGGGTTTGTATATACAAAAAATTGTGTCCTCAAAATCATAGTCCTTAACAGATATTTTACCAGTATTAACAAGCAGCAATTACGATAAGCGACCAAAAGATTTTCCCCAGGGGAAAGAAAATCCCATGGTTCACAGGACGTCCACAGTTTCTTCTACATTTGGAGTCTTAATATCTCGTAAAGCTTCTGCACATTAGGTCCAGTAAGTATTAACCAGGAACTTGACTGGTGATCCTTCTGCCTCTTTATACACCAACAGGTAATCAGATGGAATAAACACACTTGCTTTCAGTAACTGTAGCAACTACTACCATTTAATGTATTTATTCAAGTTTAATCTTCATACTGCCTATATTTTTTTTTGAAGATTTATTTTTTTATTGCAAAGTCAAATATACACAGAGGAGGAGAGACAGAAAGGAAGATCTTCCGTCCAAGGATTCATTCCCCAAGTGACTGCAATGGCCAGTATGTGCCAGGATCCCTTATGGATGCTGGTTCATATCCTGGTTACCCCACTTCCCATCCAGCTCCCTGTTTGTGGCCTGGGAAAGCAGTTGAGGATGGCCCAAAGCCTTGGGACGCTGGATCCACGTGGGAGACTCGGAAGAAGCTCCTGGCTTTGGATTGGATGGATCAGCTCTGGCTATTGTAGTCACTTGGGGAGTAAATCAGCAGACAGAAGACCTTCCTCTCTGTCTCTCCTCCTCTCTGTATATCTGACTTTCCAATAAAAATAAACAAGTCATTAAAAAGCTCAGATTTAAAATGACACTAATAATGAAAATAACTACCTTTCAAAAGAAAAACCTATAGTAGTAGCATTCTTACATTTTTGCAAATCACCAATTGCTGACTTCCTAGAACATGGCTGGCTTTTCACATGTACTCTGGATTCAATCTCTTACTTCATCATAGTCAGTCCCTGAAAACTCCATCCTAGGCCCATGAAACAGTGAAGTAAAAGGGCAAATAATACCTTGTACTGGCTTCCTTATGCTGTTGTAACAATTTGTACTTCCCTAGGTCCATCATGACATAAACCAGCTGGCCTAAAACTAGATATTATGACCATTCCTTATTTTTTAGTTTTGTTTGTAGCAACATCACTGTAGTCTTGTCTCTGTCTTCATCTGGCATCCATGTAGATTATTGTTCTGTTTCTTTCTCCTTTGACTCCCTCATAAGGATTTAATCATTGTAGTAATGGGAAACCGCTAACACTGAGTGACACTGCCTTAGCTTAATTACATCAGTAAAAGCTAGTTAGAAATGACTTCACTTTCAGAAGTTCCAGTGGACAATATTTTTGAGGGATAAATCCACTGTAAAATTTGCCTTCATCACACATGCAAAATGCATTCCCTTATCCCAACATTCCCCAAATATTAACCCAGTACAGCATTAGCCTGAAATACAAAAATCTTATCCAAATACCATCAACTCAAAAAGTTTACAGCTCATAATCTAAACCATACAGAAGTGGCTGGCTTGACCCACCACTCAAAATCTCTTCTTCTTGATGGGACTGTGAAGCAAGAAAACAAGTTGCCAGCTTCCAAAATACAGAGTTGGGACAAATATAAGCAGACAATCCCATTCCAAAAGGAGTAAGAGTCTCTGATCTAAAGCAAATGTGCAAACCAGCAGTGCAAATGCCATGGGGCATTGAGGACCAAAAATAATCAGCTGTGGCTCCATCAGGCTCTATGCCACAGAGACGCCACTGGCACCACCTTCTGAACTTCTACCCTCCGCCCTCTGTAGCAGTCCTACCCCTCTGGCTACCTGTTTCCTGCTTAAAGAATTCCTTTTATCTGTTTCCTTCAGCCCAGTCTGACCTAATAGTCCCACAAGCCCATCAGTTTTCTGTGGGTGTGAGGGGAATCTGTAACACTGGACCTGTGGTTCTTCACAGATCCCTCCTGGCCAACCTCATGTTCCTGTTCCTGGCTTCTGAGGGGGTGGCTGATGGCTTCTGTGGTTTCTTGTTTAGTCTCTCCAGCAGAATTGGCAGCCACCTGCTTAGGTATTTCTCCAGAACACGTCTTAGCATCTTTTACATTATGGGATTAGGTAGGATAGGCTGTGAACAATTCCAAATGATAATTTCCAAATAATCACACTCTAGTTTTCTAGTGAACAGTTTCTACCTGTTTCTTCATTTTACTATAAACAAGTACTAGACCAAATCTTCTGTATTTTGCTTAGCAATAAACTTAAATGTTCAATTTCATTTTTTTTAAACTTTTCTACCCAATTAGCAGAACAATGAATTCAATCAACTTCTCTGCTTAACAAGGATCATTGTTTTTCTAGTATCCAATAACATCTGAGACCTTAGCAAAAACAACTTTAATGTTCCTATTTCTTTCAGCCTTCTGTTCTTGATGACATATAAATTCTCAAAAGTGGCAACTTTCTCTACTGTCCTCACTCACTGCCTTTAGCATCTATATTTCCATAGTTTCTTCAAGATAACCTAGACTTTCTCAATCACCCTAGGCTTGTTTCAATTTCACAATTCTATCTTCTAGCCACTGTCAATTCTAAAAGACATTCCCAAATCAGTAGGTCTATATTATAGTGATACATTCCTTTCTTGCATCAAGATTTCTACCAGTTTATGAGGGCTGCCATAACAAAAACTAGATGGTTTAAAACAACAGGTATTTATTCTCTTGCAGTTTTGGGGGCCAGAGGTCTGAAATGAGACTCGCAAGGTGGCTTCCTTTCGTGCGCGGCCTCCGAAGGTGCACATTAGCAGGCAGCTGCAGCCAGAGCAAAGCTGGGACTAGAGCCCAGGCATTCTAACATGGGATGCAGTCATCTCGGCTGTCTAGTCAGATCCCACCCCGAGATGCATCTTTTCTGCTGGCATCACTTGTATCAAATTAATTCCACAGATCTAGCTAAGAAATGCCTTAAGTGACATAGTCTTTGGATCAAAAAAGATGTACTAACAAAAGCAACTTACTTTCTGTTTACTTCAAGTGCCTCACAGTAAACATGAAGGTAGCTATTATTATATCATTTTATCAATAAGGAATCTGAATCAAAAATGAGGTGATTTGATCTGCAAGGTCGCACTATTATCTGTTTTTATCTAACAAATTACTCCAAAGCCTAACAGTATAAAATAATACTTAATGATCTCACGGGTGCTGTGGGTCAGGATGAATCTGTTTCCAGGCTTACTTGCTGAGGGTGGGATGTTCCTCACTGGAGATCATGCACAGTGCCCACGTGGACCTCTCTTTGGGGTGCCTCAGTTGATCAGAACATCAGAGCAAGCACTTAACTGGGAGACTTCAGAGAATGTGAGCACGGCAAAACTGAATTCACGGTGTTTCACACACCAATCATGGGAGAAACATTATTACACACATCACTGGAAGCCAATCCTGCCTGATGACATTTGAAGCAGAAGGGATTACACAAAGACAGATTACTGCCACGTTCCATAGGAAGCTTAGGCCCAATGCTACATTCCACAAATGGCATCAGTGTCGTTCAGATCTTCACCCTCCACCCCGCAAAAATAAAGGATCTGAAAATGATGGTGATGTTACCACTAAAAACCTGACTCCCACCCCACATTTTCGGATCCTAAATGGAGGCAAGGCAGCTGAATGGCGAATAGCAGATGTAGCGTATGTGGTTTCTTCCTAAGTCCTGTCCACTACCTCCTCTTCCTCCTCAGAAGCAAGTAGGCACATCGATTCCAAGTAACAGATGAGCAGAACCCCAGACACATCCTGTGTCCAGGCACAGACAACACTGCTTTCCAGGGAATTATCCTCGATTCCATGTAGAGAGTTGTTAGACTTCTCTGGGATGAGATATGATTTATAACACTTGCCATGGAAAAAATACCACATACACAAAGTACCTACCTACCTTCTGGCCAGGCAGTCTCAAAATTGTTAAGCATATCTTGTATACATGAATTTTAATATACACACACACATATACACTTTTTCAAATAAACTGAAGTGTTACTCCTCCTAATACCCCATTCATGCAGCTTTTCTTTATGGCACTACTGGCTTTCTAAAGGTAACATACTGTACCATTTGCAAGAGAAAGCATTTTTTAATATTGAGAATAACATAGTTAATGGCTGATTAAGCCAGGAAATGGGTTCTTGAGTAGAAATCTGCTTTGGCTTCAAATTCATTTAAATATACCTGTGGTGGGCCGGGCACAATAGCATAGTGGTTAAAGTCCTCGCCTTGCATGCCCAGGATCCCATATGGGAGCCGGTTCTAATCCTGGCAGCCCTGGGAAAGCAGTCGAGGACGGCCCAAAGCCTTGGGACCCTGCACCCATGTGGGAGACCCGGAATTGCTCCTGGCTCTGGCCTTGAGATCGGCGCAGCACCGGCTGTTGCGCTCACTTGGGGAGTGAGCCATCGGAAGGAAGATCATCCTCTCTGTCTCTCCTACTCTCTGTATATCTGCTTTTCCAATAAAAATAAATAAATTTCTAATACACATATATAGAACTGTGGACCCAACCTTTAGTGTTAAGGAATGTCCTGTATTTCAAGTTTAATTCAGCTATGTACTGTACACATTATTTACCAAATTCCTCTTCTTTTTGATTAGTGTAAAACTATCAGAATTAACATCTTAATACTGTTAGCCTGATAAACTGTAAGTGGTGGCAAAACTATAGGAAAACAGGTTTTTTTTAACATAAACACAATTATTAATGGCATACAGTGTCCCTCCTGAAACTTGTTCTGGTTTGGAAACCATCAAAAATATTAATTGAAAATGCTATAATTTCCTCAAGTTCTAATGAAAAACTATAAGAAGCCCAGAAAATATGGATTCAGCCTCTATTCTCACTAAGAATTAAGATATTTTTTTCAACAATTAAGTAACTCTGGTCCTTGGTATTAACATCAGCTGCTGAAAAAGAAGACTTGTTGGGAAGCAAGTAGAGTATATCATACTGTATTCTCTACTTTCCCCCAGTTAGGCATTCAGGGATTCTTGCCAACATTCGCTTTCTGTTCCTACTTTGCTCAACAAGTAGTATTACTACATCTCTTACCTTACACTTCAGAGATTTCATCATTGGGGATACAAATCGCCAAGCCACGAGAACTGTAGCTATGGCAGGACACGGTAACTTAGATGAAAAGTACAATTAAGTTAAAGACAAAAATGGAAACTACAAGTGAAGACAGAA